TAATCCTGGTGTCTCTTTGCTGAAAGTCTGAGACATTCCCCATCCTTAAATAGGTAATGAAAGGACTTAAAAAATCCCTTGCAGGAAAGAATGGGAAAATCTGCCCCTAAGAAAATGGGAATATCTCATCTTTCATGAGAGTAGCTCAGTTCTGATTCTTTCAGAGCAGGGTGTGCTCGTTTCTAGCAAGGGGCTGGATATTGTAGTCAGCCCAACTTGCATGCCAGGCCTTTTACTAACAGGCACATCAATCTCTAGCTAAGCTTAGTAATAAATTTGGCTGTCCAAATGTGCTAAAGTCTGTTATCTCTCATAGTCAGAAGTTCCCATGGGGCCAGACTGTGACTCAGTCCTCTGGGTAGGGTGGAGGAGAGAGGTGAAGGAAATGGATTAAAATCTGGATTTATGTTGTTAGTGAAATAAATCTGGCAGTATTGATATGAAAAGGGTAGTGTTCCCCCTGCATTCCAGAACAGTGTCTGCCCAAAGGCTGGAGCATATTGAACTCTGTAATTGGTGCTTAGAAGGTGTTCCTAGTGCTGGGCAAGCAATGGTAAACCCCAGCACTGGTGACATGAGGTACAACAAAGCTGCCACTGGGCACCAGGAAAACTGAGCTGTCAGAACAACCAGGGAAACCTTGCAAAGGGATAGGGGCAAAATCTACAAGTGCTTTGAGAAACACATTTCAGCTCAACAAGACCAAACGGAGCTCTTGGCAGAGTGTTTTCTCACCAAAAACAAGAAGCTGAGCTCCTCCTGCCACAACACTTAGAAAATGGCAGCAGCTCCAGGAACCAGGTTTTTCTGAAGGGTCAAAGCCAAAACCTGCAGCTCCCCTCAAAGCCAGCAAGTCTGTGGAATTGCTGGCACAGACCTGCACTTAGCAAGGAAATGGCCACCTCCAGCATTGGATGTGGCTGTGATGTGCTCTCAGCACAGGAGTGAATTGTGGGCACCAGGCCAGGAATGACGGGATGCTATTTTGGCACGGATAGAAAGAAGGTGTCTGGCTCTAACCACTTCTGAGCATTCAATGGCAACACTGTCCAGTGATTGTAGTGCCTGTGAATGGAAGGAGGTCAGATATGTGTGTGCTTTCTCTTTTGGTCTCCTGTCAGACTTGGGTTATGGGTGCAAACGAGATGAGGACAAACTTCTTGCTCTTCATCTCTGTCAAATATCTTCTCCTTTTAAGGCTGTTAAACTGAAATGTGTTTGTTATGTTAATGTCTGTAGGCTTTGAAGGTCAGGGCCCCTTGTCCCCTGGGATGTTGGCTAGACAATGCCTCTGTCCCAGCTATCTCCATGCAGAGCAGGCGGAATTGGGACAGACTGAATACAGTGTGTTTGTGCCCCAGTGGTTTAAGAATAAGCTACATTGGGAAGTGCCAAAGGAGTGCTGCCAGCAATAGGCCTCTCTGGCAGTGGCACAGCCAGAGCAAGAGGTGCAGTCTGGCTGCAGGGACCTGTTCCTATGGAAGAGGCAGGATGGATCCTGAAGTAGGTCATGAGCAAACAAAACCAGGGCTGAGTGCAGCTATCTGTGTCTTCCTTGTGACACAGAACATGTATGATAAAAGGTTGGGCTTGGGAAGCAGCAGCATTTTCCTGACACATCCATGGGCTCAGCTGTCAGTGCAGAAGAGGTATGTGAATAGATGTGTGATTCCTCAGGAATAACTAATGCTCGAAGCACTGGGAGCACTTTGCAGATAAGTTAGAAAAGAACATTCCACTGCAGCTTTCCCTGGAGCAGGTACTAGCTCATGATCCATAGTAGGAAAGGAGAGGGAGGAAATAAGGCATGAGTTCAGTTCTGAGGAGACAGACCAGTTCAAACCTGTGTTTCCTGACTTTGTTACCAAGTCCCTCCTCAGCTAACAAACTCTCCTTCTCACAGATTATTTGCCAAAAGTTAAATGAGAAATACTTTCTCCCCTTGTCATTGGGAGTGTTTTCTGTGTGGAGCAGTGTGACTGCTAACTTTTTCCAACATAGAATCAGGAGTGACCTGATCAGAGGCTATTGACAACACTGTTCTGTTTGAGATTTTCAACATTAGCTGTTACCTTTGAACCTGGAAGGAAGGAAATTTTATCCATCTTTATTCATGGAATGAATTCTTGTTAAAATAAATGCAGCAACATGACCATGCTCAGAGGGTTTAAAAAAAATGCAGCAACATGACCATGCTCAGAGACATTAAGCTTTCTCTGTCTCTCATCTGTTAAAGTTGTATGAACAGTCAGATTAATTTGGCATAAAGCAGTAGAAGCTAGAGCTGTTGGCATCTATCAAAGTTCCTGAAAACTGCAGCTGCTCAGCCAAGCTCATTCCATGCTTGTGGATGCTTTTAGGTGTCTGTGTTCAGCCCAAGATGTCTGTAAAGGAAATGGTGCATGCAGAGCCCTCAGGCTATTAGGAGGATGTCCAGTTATCTGCTTTGGGATGTCTTTGTGTTAGCTCTCTCCCTGGGGGAGGAGAAACCCCTAAGGCTTGAGCAGCTTTCTGTGCAAAGGTGAGCTTTGACAGACTTAGCAAGAGAAGCTGTGAGTAACTAAATGTGGTTCTTCCTTCTGTCCAGCTGTGATGTGTTAGCTCTGGTTTTGACCTTAGTCCCCTGCATGTTGTGAATGACTCCTCAACAGCAAAGGGCCCCAGATGCCATTCCTGAAAAACTAGTATTATCTTGTTCAGGGTTTTAAGTACAGGATGCAAAAAAAGATAGCCAAAGGCTTCTATCTTTCCCAGGTTTGTGACACAGAGGGAATCCTCTAGTGGAAAATGTCACAATGCAAGTGGTGACATGAAGCTTTGACAGATGGCTTTGTTTTTCATGGGAACTATGTAGTATAAATGAAGGGGTTGACAGCTGTTATCCCACTACATGAGATAAATCATGGGTACCCACACCACATGATGCTCTCAGAGTGCTGCAGTCTTCCTTCAGTGACTCTTACAAAAGGTTTTGGATATTGCAGTAAGAGGCACAGGCTAGAAGTTGTGTTCTGACTTGAATGAATGGTGTTGGAGAGGAGGAACTTCCATCTGGGGATTCTAGGATTTATTTTTTTTGATTCACACACATGTATGGCTTAATAACCTAGAGAAACATCATGCCCTGCCTGTGTTTTGAATGAGCTGAAGTTGCTGATGTGTGAATACTGAATGGCTTAGGTCCTGCAGACATGTCAGGTGTTCATTTTTCTTGCTCAGTCTGTTTTAGAAGTGGCAGATTGAATGTGTGACTCGTTGGTCGGGATGTTAATGTCTTGGGTCTCTTTTTCCCAGCTGAACCACTGCCTTTGATGGACTTGTGTCGGCGAGCTGTGAGGCTTGCTCTGGGCAAGGAAAGACTGACTGAGATCCCTACACTGCCACTGCCAGCCTCCCTCAAGAGTTACCTGCTCTACCAATGACCTTTGTGTTCAAGGACAGAGCTGGAACCAAGGCAACATATCGGAGCTGACCCACCAAGCCATGGGTTCTCCACCCTCGTGTCATCGCTACTGTTGGAACTCCTTGGCCAAAGTATTCCTGCCACTGCTTAAGCCTCCATGTGCCCTTATTGGCAAGCTCTCCAGTAATCCTTGTTTCACAGCTGTTTTGTTCTCTGGAAGTCACTTCCCCAGCACACAACAAAAGGAACACTTAGAGGAGCTCTGTGCTTCCCTGGATCTCCTGAGGAAAGGCTCTACTGCATCCTTTGGGTTGGAGGGCCTAGGAGGGAATTTTTTCTGTACCAGCTAAAGGGAAGAACATCATTTGGGGAAAGGGAAGGCATTAGGAGTGGAAATGTTCAGACCTGCTCCTAAGAATGGAAATGCAGAGGGTGGCCAGCAGAGTTGGGAAGAGTCTGGAATACCAAGAAGAATTAATTGCTGAGTTCTTAAACCAAAAAAAAAATAATTGAAAGTACAACCCCAAGCCCTAAAACACCAAACCCAAGAACCCTTCACCAAGACACTTGTTACTTTGGAGAAAGTGGTTATGTTGCTGATGTCTGTGTCTCTGCTGGGACTTGTCACCATGTTCTGATGCTATTCCATAGATTGTGGATGCTGCTTTCTGGTTTATCCCCATTGCTTTCTCCTGCTCCATTCTCTGCTCTGCCTCTTGGTGGGTTTGACTCAGCTGATTGAGCAGTCACACTGTGTCTTCACCTGCCTGTGTCCTGACTTAAACCTGCAGGTTTTAATCTGGGATTCCTTGCTGATGTGGGGACAGGGAAGGAAGGGACACACTTCTGCAACAGGGTGAGAGTGGCTGTATGAGCTGAGCTTTGTTACACAGCTATGTGCCCCATCACCTTAGGTTTGCTCTCTATAACCTGTTCCATCTTAAGGCGGTAGAGAAACATGCTAATGTTCTTCTCAAATGGCTCTGCCAGGGCATTCTCTTCTTGGATAAGCTGCTTAAATTCATCTAAACCAGGCTTTGTTCTGTCCTAGACCTTTGGTGTAATCTCCATTTATCTATGCAGCAAGAATAGTTCTCTTCTCTCTTGAGGGTGGGAAGTTGTCCCAGAGAAGGTGGTAGCAGTGTGGCTGCAGAAATACCATCAGCAGATGAGAACTCCAGGAGGTGATTGCTGCAGAATGTAGTTTGTGAGACCTGAACAGAGGCTAGTGGGGTGATCTTCAGGCACAGCAAGAAGAACCTGAACCTCTCCAGAGCTGAGGGGCAGGAGAGAGCTGCAATAAACAGGGGGTGGGAAGTTGTCCCAGAGAAGGTGGTAGCAGTGTGGCTGCAGAAATACCATCAGCAGATGAGAACTCCAGGAGGTGATTGCTGCAGAATGTAGTTTGTGAGACCTGAACAGAGGCTAGTGGGGTGATCTTCAGGCACAGCAAGAAGAACCTGAACCTCTCCAGAGCTGAGGGGCAGGAGAGAGCTGCAATAAACAGGACAAGCAATTCAGGCAAAATCAGCACATCCCAAATAGATCTCACCTCAGTAGCCAAGTAAAGAGGATGACACTCCTTTACTAGCAGGAGCTGCTCTCTTGACCTCTCCACAGGTTACTATGCTGCCTTTCTGGGGTTATTTTGCACATTTCTTTGTCTTGAAAAATGTTTGTGTGGTTGGTTTTTTTGGTTTTTTTGTTTTTTTTTTTTTTGCTCTTGAGTTATCTCTTCAGTTCTGTGTTAGGTACAAATGAGTTTAGTTGTTGAAAATGTTAATATATATATTTGTGGTGTATGTATAAGAACATGTTTTAAACAGCTGCTGTAGGGTACCTTTTTTAAAATAAACTACTTGCATAGTCTATTTTTTAAAGCACAGAATTGGTGCCAAGACTGGGTGGGGTGTGATGTGCCCCTTTTTTATTCTAATATTATGATTTTTTTTTTTGTAATGTAGGGGTTTGTACTAGTTTCTGTTGCAGGGTGGGACACAAGAAAATTCAGTGTGTGGAGCCCTATTTGGTTGCCTTCAACTTGAACCAGTGTCTTCCAGAACTCCAGGGAAGTAGCTGTGTTCTCCCTACTTCTAATGCTCTTTGTGCTCCCTCATTTCCATCTCTTCTCACTTCACCAGGACATTACTTTGTACAGTTTTAAATTCTGACTTTCTATTTTATGACTGTAGATAATACTCAGTAACCTAATAAACTTTATTAAATATTACTTGGTGATGGGTTTTATTTGCATGAAGTGATCAGATTTTTTGTTTGGTTTCTACATGAGCTTATGCCCAAGAAGCCCAAACAGGCCAAGCAAGGGCTGTTGTGGCCTTATCTCTGCTTGGAAGAATAACCACTTAAAGCTGCTATCTGAAAAGTGTCAGGGCAGCTATTGATACAGGATGGTGAGATGTGGTAACCTGAGTTTTAGTGCAGCTGCCACTGGGGCCTAAAAGATGGAGTTGAATAAATCTGTGATGAGACAGCAACCTTGGTCTCATGATTTAACTTGGTTTAGAGCTGATTTATTACACTATATTCCTTTTTTTCCTGTTCAGTAGAAAATATTTTCAATAGAGCTCTGGTTATCGTGCCAAACTTCATGCATTGTGCAGGTTTGAAAGTTTCACTCCTAGACTACAGCAAATGACTTTTTTTTTTTCTTACAGAAAAGAAGCTCAGAAAAAAGAAATCACTGCTTACTTTGTGGATACCTCATTGTCCTTTTTCAGTAGGGAGATGGTAGATAGAAGAAAGCAGGGCTAGCCAGAAGAGCAGCACAGTTAGTCACAGAAGGTGCTGTGGAAGGGTAAGCTGAGTGTTGGGAGAATCATTCTTGTGATTGATTTCAGTGTGTACTGGGAAACTTCCTCAAGTCATGAACTTGATTTAGCTCAAGTCCCTTGGTATTGGCTTTCAGTCATTGCCTACCCACTGCAATCAGTTGCTGTGCTTTATTTTTGAGATCTCTTTGCACAAGACACTTCATTTCTGGGCTGTGAGATGTGGATTCTATTGTTTGTGGTATGTAACCTGTTTGCTTGATGGTTGTACCTTCAGTCTCCTCCATCTCCATACTGTGCAATATAGAGATGTCTCAAACTGTTCAGCAGTGAGGTTAAGCCTTTCCAAAGTGACTGGAGGTGAGATGACATGGTGCCCTTGGCTTTGATGATGAAGGCTTTAAGTCCCTTTCCTGTCCATGCATTCTTGTCTTCCCTGCAGCTACCAACTTGTGTGGAAACCAAATCCACTCAGTTCACACACACTGTAACATGTGATGTTCAGCTAAAGCTTATGAACTGCCTAATAAGGGTACTGGGGGATGAGAGCTCAAAAATAGAAGGGCAAGTGTTTTCTTGTCTCTTGTTTCCAGTTAGGACAAGGATTTTTTTTTTTTGAGTTTGGATGTCTTAATCCTGTGATTTTCTATTTTTTTTCCCCCAACTGTTTGTAGATCCTAAACCTAAATCTCCAGCATATTTAATGGTTTGCTGAAGGTAGTGCAGGACTTGAATAAAACACTTAGCTTGCAGTGTGAGGCTGCCCCTGTGTCACTGGAATGTGACTGGAGGGGCTCTGGGAGGGTGCAGAAGGTGGGGCGGGTGCAGAAAGCTGAGAAATTAGTTCATGCTCAGCTCCAGACACCCAAACAGCCTTGTGTTCCAGCTGCATGGAATATTTGAAACAAATGACCTGCTCAGGGCTGGGAGTCTGCAGTGTTTATGTACAGTGCCATGGCAACGGGGGAGGAAGTCATGAGATGAGGATTGGACCTGATGGAATCAACAAATGATATCACAGATTAGCAAGGCCTAATAAATCAGTGGCTCTCTGCTCCCCTGTTACTGCCCTGGTCCAAGCACTGGCATTGTGGCAGGCACATCTCTGCCTTTTGGAGCAGCAGGAAAAGCTGCAAGTCCTACTTGTATCAGGATTGCCTTGAAAACCAGCCCTGTTACCCTGGCCAGCATCTCATCCTCCTCCTGCTGCTGCTGACTCACCATGTTTACGCACATGGAACTCTTCCTACGTTTCATAGGAGGCTTCTGGCCTTGACACTTTGCCTGCTGTTGCCTTGCCTGGGCTGGAGCAGTGCTGTGACAATTCTGCACAGAACCTTGGCATCCTGATGCTCTAGACAAGCAGTGGAGTAGCTTTTCTTTGTTTCTGGAAGTTGAGGCTTTGCTGAAAGTAATTTGAGTCTAGAGGGCGAGAGGGGAAGTGTTCAGTGGAGGAGTTTGGTGGCTGATAAGGAAGTATGTCATGCTACTTGAGCTGTCTTATCATCCCTTTCTCAAGGGAAGCCTGTCCTGGGTGGCATGTCTGTGCCAGCCAACACACCTACTGTGGATCTTCAACACAGCTCTATGTCAGGACAGAAAAACTTGGGGGGGAGGGAAGACAGTTGCCAATTCTCTCCTTTATCTGCAGAATTGAGGATTTATTCCTGAGCTCCAACAACTTCCCTGCTGCAGCACAGCTGCCAGTCTGTACCTGTCAAATCCTGAGCCAGTACCAAAGCAATTTTCCCTTTCCCTGTGCTCAAGATGTGCAAACTTGCAAGGATATGCGTCATACTTCTCAGAACTGACTTTGGCAGTCACACCTTGCCTCGTGCAGAAGGTAAGACAATTATGAAAAGCATTTCCTAGCATGCTGCCCCTCTCCTCTCCCACATGCTTCCCATGCAGAGCTAATGCTGTTGATCTTATGCCAAACGCTAAGTTGCGTTTGACCGGAGAAGGAAACACATCGTGATTTATTTAGTAAAGTTGATTAAAATTAAAACCCTAACCCAAAGCACAGCCTTTCTTGGCTTACAAAACAGCACTGAAGGGAACAAAACTCATTCAGTGCTTACACAAAACACACTGGAGCACTGATCCTGCCTCTGCACATGTTTTGATTCGAAACTATTGCAGGCTTGTCTGCCCTTCAGACAGAAAACTATTTGAAGCAGCTGCCAGATGTTTTGTCTGCCTTGTGTTTTACAGTTTGCTTACTGCTTAGCAATGCTCTTCCCGTTGGGTGCTCAAGCTGCCCTTGTGCATTCTGTTCCTGTGGCATCTCCGTGCTGCTCTCCCACCCCTTCGGCCTGGACGCTCGCACGTAGCGTGGGGGAGATACAAGTCTGAGTATTTTACTCCAAGGCTCAGTATCACACGTCTGCACAATCTGCTGGCCTCATCTGAGACCTTTTCTGGGACTAGCACAGACCAGCCACATTCCTCTGCTCACATGTTGCCACAGTGTATAAAAGTTAAGGTGATTTACAGTCTCTT